ACTACAGCTACAACCAAGGTCTTATTTTCTTCAGTTTTATATGTAGAACCAGTCAGTCACTGGTTTTGTAATCAACGAAAACAATGCTTTGTCATTTCCTCGTGTGTTTTAATATTCTACGTATTATTAATGAATTGTATTGCTCATTTTGCACACATAAACATTAATTCAATAAAAAAGACATTCAGTAATAAACAATAATGAATCTTTTTGTACATAAGAGAAATGACGCTGTTTACACGATTATGCACGTCGTCTGCACGTTGGCGGGCCGTTCAAACCCGTCGAAATTCAAGTTTCCGCCGTCAAAATTTTTATTTATTTATTTTTTTGTGTGTTCCAATAAAATACGTTAAGAATTAAAAACTCGCGAAATTTCAGAAGCTACTATACGACATTTAACCCTTCAATATGTCTTCAAAGAGACCATGACGCAGAGAAAGTGGTGCTAGTGCTTCCAGGCATAAGCACAAGTCACTATCTATCCAGGAAAAGGGTGAATTTCCATGGTCCGGCACCGGTCAGGTCCCGAGGTTGCCGGACTAGAGAGGTACAACCTGTAGTAATAATAATTATAATAATAATAAATATTCATAGTAAATGAAATTTTTAATAAAAATACACCAAAATAAAATAATAATAATAATAATAATAATAATAAAATATAATAATTAAATTAATAATAATAACAATAAAACTGTAATAATAAAATAATAATAATAATAATAATAAAAAAATACAAGAATGAAAAAAAGATCAAAAGTGATAAACACGACCTAGAACTATGAATTATTACTATAATTTTTATTATATTTCCCCCCGGCCCTGATGTGGGTCATTGATGTATGCCCGGGTGAGCTACTACACATTAAAAATGAATAAATAAAAAAATAACCATTCTGAAAACTGAAAAATTCCGAAATCCGAAATGCCACTGGCCCCAAGGATTTCGGATAAGGGATTGTCAACCTGTAGTAAGGGTAAAGATTCATTTTAGTTACACCACAGAAACTATTAACAAAAATAGGTTTTCCAAGTGTATTTTGTATTGTTTCAAGCAAATCTGACCTTCATTTGTCACAATTGAGGTGTTATGGAGTAATATGGGGTAATATGCTAAAAAGAACATGAAACAAACCTTTAAAAACCTTACCCAACCTATAAAAATTCTAAAAACAACCAATATGGCTGGTTAAAATACTGTACAGTTAACCCTCACTTTACGCGGTCCCACATTCCGCGTTTACGCGGTGCCTTGTCAGAACCTAACGTGCTCACATTACGCGGTACGTGAACCCCATTACGCGGAGTGTGTCCGGCGCGACGCTATTTTTAGATTCGCCCCACCTCCTGCCCGCCTGCCTGCCTGTGCTCCTCGCCTCTCCCTCCTCCTCCCTCCGCTTGGGCAAGCCGCGCGGTAAGGTTGCGCAGTGTGTGTCTTTGTTGCGTTATCACTGACGTCATATGACGTATCCGACTGTGATTGGCCATGCATCCCTACCCCCCTCTGCTGCTAGCTGTAATTGGCTTAAAGTATTATGACGTGTCCACCCGGGGGAGGGAGGGAGGGAGGAAAGACGACGCTTGACCTAGCCGCGGCAGTTTCATCCCTCAAGGCCACACCGTGTAATCGTGCATCCATTGTTCGTAAAATGGCTTCCGCCGGACCACCACCCCCAGAGAGAAACCTTTCCTTACCTGGACCCAGCGGCACTAAGCCAAAGAAGACACGACGTTCCTTAAGCTACGAGGTGAAGTATACCATCATCCAAGAGTTGGAGAAAGGAACAAGGCAGGTTGATTTGGCGCGCCAGCATGGTGTGAATGAATCTACGATTCGAACAATAAAGAAGGATGCAGCCAAGATAAAGGAGCACATGAAGATCACAAAGTCTACAGGTGCTTCTATGATCAAGTATTTTCACAACCAGGTGCTTCTCAAGACAGAAAAATTACTTGTGAGGTACTTGGTGCGTCAGGCGCGACGGAACATGGCGGTCGACACGCGCTCTGTTAAGGACTACGCACGTGAACTGTACATGGCAGTGGCACGAAAGATGGGAATTACAGAGCCCAAACCCTTTAATGCTTCCTCTGGGTGGTTACAGAGGTTTAAGATCCGGAACAAGATCACCAATATAAACATTGGTGGTGAAGAAGCGAGTGCTGACCGTGCTGCGGCTAGGGAATTTCCTCCGTTTTTACGTAAGATTATGGAGGAAGGACAGTACAGTGACGACCGGGTGTTTAACATGGACGAATCTGGTCTTTTCTGGAAAAAGCTACCTTCCAAGTCCTTCGTTGTAAAGAATGCCAGCAAGATTCGGGGCCGGAAGATGCAGAAGGAACGCATCACCGTCCTGTTTACCACCAATGCCTCCGGTACCTGTAAGCTCAAGTTATCGGTGATCCACACAGCACGCAAGCCGCACGCCTACAAAACCATGGACATGACCAAGCTAAATGTCCACTGGCTGACCGCACGTAAGGCGTGGATGTTCTCTACACTGTCCCTCTCCTGGTTTGATGACTGTTTTGTTCCCGATGTAAAGAAATTCTGTGAGCGACAGAATGTGCCATTCAATATTTTGTTGCTGCTGGACAACGCACCAGGACACTCGCCACCTACTGTTAGATCGTCACCCCAACGTAAAAGTGGTCATCCTTCCTCCCAACACTACGTCTATATTACAGCCCATGGACCAAGAGTTAATCTGTAATGTAAAAGCTGCATTCTCAACAAAAAAATTCAAACTCCTGAACGACTACACCAACACCAGGGAAGAGTTGCGTAACCTGAGTGACACCACCACTGATAGCAAGAGCGAAGAAGATGAGGATCAACAGTTGGCACAGCAAAAAATACTGTTCAAACAATTCTGGAGAGTATTTAACATCAAGAAAGCTGTGGACTTCTTGGTGGAGTCATGGGATCAGCTGTCTATTGCTACAATTCGTCACGCATGGAGACATGTGTTGCATGGAATACCAGGTGAGAGGAGGAGTCAATCTGTGACTGGTGAAGTTCAGATTGTTGCAGTAGTAGTGGACCTTGCCAGAGAAGCTGCGCAGACTGTTACAGTTCCAGGCTTCTCCGAGACCACCAACGACGACATCCTGGAGGTGATCAGAGATGCTGAAGTGACTGCCGACGAGATGTTGGAAGAAGATCACGTCAGTGAAGAGGAGGAAGAAGGTGCGTCATTCTCCGAAGAACACAATTTAACTCATAGTGATATTAAGGGTGCCATGGAGTGTGCAGAGAAAATGAAGTCCTTCCTTTCCCGCGACAATGACGATGACCGCTATGAAGTCTTCCATACCCGGCTGGTGCAGGCTATGGAGCCGTACATCAAGGTGTATCACGACAACATCAACGCCAGCCGTCAAAAAAGCATAACAGATTTCTTTGCCTGCAACCCACCACAGCCAGCCCAAGCCAGTGATAGTGGCAGTGAAGATGACTTTGAGGGATTTGTCAGGGAAGCCCTGACAACTGTAAGTGACAGTGATGGTGATTCACCTAGTAATGGTGATTCACCTGAGGGCCAGTAATCTGCCCTCTGCCTCGGAACCAGCCTCCATCCCCATATGCCGACCCATCTCTTCTACTAACATAAGTGTTCCACATAACTTTTAGTTTTTCTAACCTAACCTTTATTTTTCCTATGTTAACCTTTATTTTTCCTAACCTAACCTCTTCTATATTACTTGTTTTTTCATACCATCTTAAAGTTAAGATAAAATTTTTACTACAACATAGTTGTGTGTCGTCAAAAAGTGGAGTTTGGGGGGTCGGCCCGGACTCTATTTCAATTAATCCCATATGTTATGTTATTCACTTTACGCAGGACCCTGCGGTTACATTAACCGCGTAAAGTGAGGGTTAACTGTACTCAAAAAATTTAAATTTGCAATGGAAACCTAATAAAGTATTTATATCTTCTTTGCTCTTTCTCCTTATGTAAATATAAATTTCAAGTTCCATGGTGTAACAAAGACGAATCTTAACCAGAGGAATATTGTAAAAGATGCGACAGCTTTTTATTTTTATTTTATGAATTTTTATTTTTTTAAATTTTCTCTTATTAAATCACCTCACCTGTAGTGGGCAGGGCATGAAGGATTAGGGTGATTGCGGGGTAAAAATACAGCGATAAACTGATTACAGTATATGACTTAAATCAGGTCTCTATGTGCACTGTGTGTGAATATATTTAGTTTTTTACCGTAAATAATCTGCCAAAAATTCTGGCTTGTCAGTGTGTGTTGTCCCCAATCGTGAACAAATAAATTCTGAATCCAGTCTCAGTTCAGTTGTCAATAAACTGAGTCGGATATCGGGGATTTTACTACCTTGAATGTTTTTTTATTATCCAGAGTTGTGTGTCAGTAACCTGTACAAATCTCATATAATTTATTTCCACACACTGAGTTCTTTAACCTATTAATTTTCTAAATTATGATGAGAATCTTATTGTTGGAATCGAAACCCTTGTGGGCTTTTATTTATTTCCAATACCTTTCAATTAGCATTGGATTCTAAGTGAACTCTATGTTCATCTATTTATTGTTCTACCTCAAGGAGGATTGATGACTAAGGGAGAAGCCATATTGTTTTTCAATGGCTTCCTTATCACATCATGTTCAGTATCGCATCACAAGTTATCTGTGCTTGCAGAGGGTGAAGACAGTTTCCAAGAATTTGTCAACATTGACTAGTTGGCAGGATGTGCAAGTGTTCAAAATGTGGCAGGTCAAGATAGTTGCTTCCATTGGTACCATGTATCAGAGAAAGTTATACGAAGTATTGGTTATTGGGACCTCAGTTTACTGGGTTTACCAATCTAAAATAAAAAATACCTCTGTACATTAATAGGTTCGAGAAGTTTCATCCGGATTACTTTATGTTGCATCCATGGATTATTTGATTAAAATTTCACAAGTGGGGGCATAATGTGTTTCACAAACTCTGTTCCAACTTGTATTTTTGTTTCCAGGGCTCTTCTGGCGTATTCATATGATGGATCCTCTTTCATCTGCTGCCATATTTGCTCTTGTGACAGGCATTGCAACATACCTTGTTGCTTTTGCTTACATGAACACCAAGTTTGTCCTGAAGCATAAGGTATGTTACTTGTACAGTTGTTTTGTTTTAAGGTATACTCTAAAGATGTTGGAGGAATTGATAGTACAGTATATTGGTATATATTTACTGGTGTGACACTGAAAATTACTTTTTAAATTTTATAAATACCATATACAAAAGAAATGGTCTTAACAGTCTACTGTATCATAATCCAGTCATTTGTTGACCAAACAGGTGGCACAAAAGGTTGAGGATGCTGTTACACGTGAAGTAATGCGGAAACTGGCTGATGACAAGAAGATGGGCAAGAAAGAAAAGGATGAAAGGTGAGGCCAATATTTTAGTTATTAATAATTAAAAAGGCTTAATATTTGGTCACCTGTCCCATTTACAGTGTAAGGTAGATCTCAATTTATAATCTACTTAGTTTGTATCACACATCTGTGCTGTCACGTGATTTAATTAGGGTTTTATAATCTATACAGTATTGATACTTTTAGTATCTCAGTTTATTACCAGTACAGTTATTCTGAAACCTTCATTTTTTTTTTATTATAGCATGCCCTTACAATTCGCAGATATTTAATTTGTGGCTTTCGATTATTTGCGGATGACACCCTGGATGTATCCAAGAATGTCTGCGGTTAGTTTTCAAGTTGATGGCATTTCTGCAGCCGGGATGGGGAACCCGCGAGTTTTATGGCATCCTGCAAGGTGTCTCTTGTCCCTGGCGGCTGGACCATGCGTGCTCACTCCTCTCCTGTCCGAGATTAAACGTTTGTCCTTCACACGTGTGCTACTCTGCTCTCTTAACACCTGCTCCTTGTGCTTGTGAGGGCTCCCAAACGCCCTTAACCACCTTCATCCAGCTGTGGAAGGAACCCAAACAAGTGAAGAGAGAAAGTCATGTATTTCTCTCATACGTACTCCTGGCAATGGAAGCGAGTAAAGGGAGCGAGTGACCGCTAGTTAGCACGTTGTCTGCAGTTGTAATTCTCCTCACTCCCTGCCACATTTCACTGGATTTCCTGTTATTATTAGTGTTTACTGATCAAATAGTGATTAATCGAGGCTTTGTAGCTAGGTTAGCTTGTCATTGTAAACATCAGGCTACTGGGCCAAGCTGTGGTGTGTTATGGTTTTTTCAACTCATATTTTTGTGTCGATATATGTAACTTTATTCATTTACATGCACACACCATCCTAAATACGTATTGTAAAAAAAAGTAAAAGAAATAATTGTCCTAAGGGAAAACACATTTCTTTGCATACTAGTAAAAATTTAACACACACACACACCCCGTCAGAAGGTATTCACGGATTTAGCAATTCGTGGCCATTTTTGAGACCAAAAACCCTGTGAATTTTAAGGGCATGCTGTAAATAGCATAGTGTATGTTTCCATGACAGAATATGGAGGACCAAGCAGATTTTACTTATGCAGATAACATTTCAAAGGAGTTTTAGTTGAACTATGTAAGTGTATTGTTAATCAGTGATTTCCCATATTTGTACTTTTTCTACTTGTGAATTCTTGCTCAATTCACTTTAAAAATATTACAAAATTCTTTATTCACTGCTCAGGGTCTTGTGGAAAAAGAATGAAGTAGCAGAAGCTGAGGCCACCACATTCTCCTTGTTCTACAACAACGCTCTCTTTCTGATGCTGGTCGTGGTGGGGTCCTTCTTGGTGTTCAGGTCAATCGCACCAGCTTACAACTACGTCTTCAGCACACTGGGAGCAGCTGGGGTCATCGCTCTCTTCTCCACCAGCTCCCAATAAGACCAGCCACTTTTCCTCACTCGTTGTTATAATGTTTAAAAAAAGTAGAGGTGTTTTTTTTTCCGTTTCTTTGTAAAGAAATTTATTTATGGTGTTACTTTTTGTAGGTTTTTTTTTTACTACTTGTAATGTGCAGTTATAATTTTGTCTTCTACAAACTTGATATGTATCAATTCAGGCAACCAATTCTTAAACATTTTTAAATTAACTAACTGGCTCTAAAACAGTTAATAAAGTCAAATGATTGTCTTAGTATGGACATCAATATAATTCTTATAAAATATAAAATATAAAAAACTTACCAGTGAACTTTATTAGGGGCATTGTCCTGCTGAAACCTCCTTTTTTATGGATGGATTTATATGAAATTTTATCACATTATTTAGGATCATTCAACAGTGGTCAAGTTTTTTTTTTTTTTTTTAATCAAAATACTGGAAACACTTGTGATTGAAAATATTTGTGGCTTTAATGATATAAAGAGCATGGGCTGGTGATTCTTCATTGTTACAACCAAATATGTATGACCATTCAACGATGATAAAAAAGTAAAACTAAAATAACCCATAAAAATCCTCCCCAAATTATTGGCTTTACCGTCTAATTCGGTAAAGAAATTTTTAGTTACACTCCTTCTCTTATATCATATTCTATTATCATTGGTGAATCTAATACTGTTTGAAAATTAAAAATCGTCCAAGAAACTGCATAAATACTTGGGCAAGGGAGTTCACAAGCTGTGCAACATACTGTAGGTCTACTCTCCATGCGGGCCAGCGGACACTGAGAAGGAATACCTGTACACCTAATGCTCAGCAGACTGGCTGATAGATATTGCCAGATGAATGTTTTAATAGTTTTAATAAATAACAATGTATAACAATAAAACTAAAGATACTATTTGCTCATAATACTACTTTATTATGATAGCAGAAAATGAGAATCGTCTAAAGCCGACTACAGGAGGTAAGGGGTCTTATTTTTTTTTTGGGGGGGGGGTAGATGATATTGCACAGCATTCATACTTAACAGTGATGTAGTAGCTAAAAGTTTCCATAGTTCAGATAAATTTTATTCGGAAAGTCCGATTTTTCATAATTCTTGGATCGTTCACAGCTGGACAATGCCCTTAACTTTCTAGTTCATTCAATGAGTTTTTAAGTTTCTCTGACCACGACAAATGTTATACGAGACCACTCACGTGAGGTCTGGTCATCTTCATTCTGCGGCCAGTTTAACCCACAATAATTTTTTTTTATTTATTTTTTTTTTTTTGCAAGAGTTACATATCACTGGCTTTATTATTGCTTTGGCTTTAACATAAGCAGAAAAAAGGAGACAAGAATGCGACTAACTTTCCAATCCAATTAAAGATAAAAATTTATTTGTTCCCAGCATCATAACTCGTACATTTTCTCACAAACCTACCAAAGTATTATCATAGTTATAGAATAGTGATTTTATGAGCTTTCCAATGATGGCTTTGGAATTTTGATTTGACTAATTGTGAGGAGGGTGGGAGAGGAAAGACAAATGTGACCTACCAGCATGGGAGGGGAGGAAACATGGACAATGCAATCCACCCATGCTCTGATACTTTCTGGAAGCTTCCCTCACAAGGTCATGCAGTCATCGATTACACAAGAAAATTTAATGGAATTTTCTTTAATTATTATTTTTGGGTGAATTTTTTAAGTTTAAACCCGTCATCGATGCAAATGGTGCTACACATTGATTTGGTGCAATTTGCGTCTTGATATGCGAGATGGTTAAGTTAAATCATATTTCTTTATTTGAGGTGGAGTATTATGCTTTATATCCCCTTTATTTTTCTGTGGTATGACATTTCTTCTTGACTGGTGAAATAATTAACTTAAGTTAAGATGTATATTATTTGGTCTGGAGGCAAATGTATAGAGAAATTGGTGTGCCTGTAAGAGATCATAAATAAATAACATTCCCATGGTACATGTATAAGGATGACAGTTTTCATATCAGGTGGTACTCTACTGTACTGTACAGTATTTGAAGGACAGTGCGAATGTTTGTAAAGATGGTTTCCCTTTTTTATAAAATAAATTTCAACAAAGGAATAATGTTTCAATAGCCGCACTTTACATCACATGATGCTTGTTAAATGAATTATTTATTCATCTGAATGAAAAAATAATTTTCCATGCAAAAAAAAATTTCCTTTTGAACTGAAAACTACTTTTAATAATTTTAGTATAATACAGTGCAGTACTGTTCCAAAATAACCAAAAATATATAAACAATTTAATAATTAGTTTATCAAATGTATGTCTTCAGAAGTCAGTAGCACAACGACTTACCTGACTGTAATTACATATTTTTAATCCCAAATCCAAAATTGACATATCGAGTCAAATTTGAAAGGAAATTAATTTTTAAATCACATCAATAATGGTCAATATTATTGCATAAACACCCATACTGCACAATTTTATTGATCATTTAGGGTAAATATTAAAGAATAATGCAATATATGAGGTGCCAAAAATCACAATCGAGAAAAATTTTCAAAGTTTGGAAAAATTCAAAATGACAACTTTTGAACCAATGAAAATACTGAGTTCATTCACTTGGCATTGTGTAGAACTTTTAAAGATGGTTTCACAGATAGTAAAGTGATATTAATTGAAACGATTGTTTATAGTAAAAAATTTACTGTTTTTGATGGGCAGTGTTTGCAGTTTCATTAATATACATTATTGATGTATAATTTTCATTACATGGAAGTTATAATGTATTAAGACCACACCAGAAAGTCAAAGGTCATTGTACTGTTTGTATAAAATTAAACAATACCAGGTATTGCCAATATTTTGACCAGGGGTCAAAAAGTATAATAAACAAATGCAAGTACTGTAAACCCTCGAAGATTTGGACCCTGTAAATACGGATTTCGGAAAATTCGGACAACAAATTTGGGGGTTCTGGTCTAAGAAGCATTCCCAAAACAGGGTGAAGGTAGTTCTAGGCTTAAAGTTTTAGTCTTATAAATTGTCACAGATTAAACTCAGCAGAATGTAAATTGCATTGCTGGAATCCTTGCAAGATAGCAAATAATTTGAATACAGTATAAACATCACGAGATAAAAAAATTGTCTGTTAGTGTAGTACATTTGAGTACAAGTTTATCAACTCATATTTTCGGGTAGATATACATAACTTTATTCATTTATTTTTACTAATTTACATGCACACACCATCCTAAATACATATTGTGAAAAAGGTAAAAGAAATAATTGTCCTACGGGCAAACCTGTACTCAAATATACTAAGTTAATTAGTAAAATTTGTATGTCTAGTGCAAACTATGGGATCATTATACTGTACACAAGTTAATCACTATCTTACAAGAATTCCAGTAATGTAAGTTATATTCAGCCAAGTCAATTCAGTGACATTTTATAAGCAAAAAACTTACTCTCTCTCTCTCTCTATTTGACTGATAACTAAGCACTTGGTAACCTCTGCCCAGAAGTCAACACCAGGGGCGAAGCTACGGGGTGGCCGAGGATAGCCAGTGTCACCCTAGAGTGAAGCTTGGCCACTCCAGTTATGCAAAGCGTAGCAGTCAGAGCAGAGAAAAAATCATAAAAAAAAATAATAATTTAATTCATTTAGAAGCAGCCAACAATAAAAGTGTTTTGTTTTTTGATAGGTGTGTTCGAATCTTGGATTAGAGAGAATGAAAAGGAAAGCAGAAGCTAGGAAAATACATTCCTTTTTTAAAGAGAGTTCGAGTAAAGCAGAAAATGACAATGATGAAGGGAAAACTTCTGCAGAAAGGGAGAATAAAGAAGCAGGAGAAACGTCGTCTGCAGAGAGGAAGAATGAAGAAACAGTGAGAGAGTCTGCTGAATGGGAAAATGACTTGGAGTTTATTGCGTTTTAGCAACATTTAAAAAACTTTTGGGAGATACAAAATTCCTCTGACATTCTCCAGTCTTCATTGCTTGATTTGGCAAAGGCAGTAGACCTTGTAGAGGCACTCAATCACACCTTTGAAAATTATAGAAATGAGGAGGTATTTTAAGATACATGGAAGACAGTTTTGGGTATTGCCGAGCAGTGCAGTGTCTGTACGTAAACTGTTCCAAAACGAAAGAGGAAACTAAGCTCTAAGCTAGAGGCGCAATGTGTCTTGTCCACAGTAGGCAGTCAAACAACTATTAACCGCAAAGATAGTTTCAGAACAGGAATATTTTACCAGGTTCTGGACATGATGCTAAATGAGCTGAGGAATAGATTTTCCAATCAAAATAGTACCATGATGAGAGGTATCCAAGCTCTAAATCCAACTAGTGAAACATTCTGTGAAAAGGATACTCTATTTCCATTTGCTAGGATGTATGGGTCTGATCTAGAAGACATTGTACATGAGCTGTACCAAGTAAAGAGAACTTTACATTGAAAGGTCAAAAATGGCATGCAGAAACCATCCAGCATATTAAAGCTTGCTGTGTTTATTGAGCCATATATGGATGTTTTCCAAGAGTTCTTTAGGCTGTATAAAATTGCAGTTGCAATTCCCATCAGCACTGCTGCATGTAAGTGCAGCTACTGCCTGAAGTTGATCAAGACACATCTCAGAACTACCATGTCAGAAGATAGGTTGAGCGATCTGGGGGTTTTGAGCATAGAATGTAGAAGAGCAAAGTCCCTCAATCTAGATGAGTTTGTGGATACCTTTGCCAGAAATCACAAGAACCGTAGAATTCAGCTGCTATAATCTAGATTATAATATATTTCACAGCACAAGTGAGATGCTAAGTGAGCAGTAAAGATACTGTAGATGTGTGCCTTTTATGCTCAGTGGGGATTCTACAGAGACGTAACTTACGTTTATATTCATTTTGTTTATTGAGAGCCCCATATTATTTTTGTTTGTTATCTGTATAATGCTGTATTATGCACATTTTGACCTTATTGCAAAACTGTCAGCCTTTTTTGTTTTTTCTCTTCTTTTGTTTGAAATTGGAAATAAATTGGTAACGTGACCTTCTCTTGTGAATTGTTATCTATAAAATATTCATTTAATGCAAATATCATTCTAATTGTAATGTTTATAGAGGAGCAGTTACATAAATTTAGTTTGTTAGAGAAGAGTAACAGCAGCAGAGGTACGTGTCTTTAGCTACCTTAGGTGTGTGAGGGATATTCCACTGAGGCCGTACACAAATAGGGGTAACAACATTATGTAATTTTCTGTAGATTTGAAACAGTTATTTTTCACCACCCCAATAAAATCACTGGGTCTAACCTGGTCACCCCAGTAGAAACGTTCTGGCTCCACCCCTGGTCAACACCTCACCTCACCCCCTCCCCACCTCCTCCCAGCCAGGATGAAGGTTTTTATCTTACAAAATATCAGACTAAACTTAGCTGACCAAAACTTACAATGCTGGAATCCATGCAAGATCATGAATAATTTGATTATAAACATCATACAGTTTTCAAAAGAGATAAAAAATTTAGACCTTTAGTATACAGTAGAACGTCGATATAACACGAGATACATTCCAAGAGAGGTTGCTTTAAACCGAATTCGCACTAAATCGAAGTGTTGTTTCAATGGAATAATTTAGTTTGGTACTTAAGAGAAACACAAAATACTAAAAGGACTGACAGTCTACCCAGATGCACCTCAGCCCATCTCCTTGAATAAACAAAACATTGTTTTTTGTAGTATTATGTTAAAACAAACACTCATAAATCAACACAGCTAAAATTAAGGGATATGAAATGGTCTGTTTACTAGTTGGGACAATGCAGGGGAGGGAGGAGGGTGAGGTGATATGTTTGACAGTTGATGCCAAGGTAGGGTTGCCATTCAAAAAAGAGGACGCTCCAGAAGACATCCCCCGCCCGGAACCCACAGGCTAAGATACAACATACATGGTATAGAAATCTTAAAAAAAAAAAAAACCTTTGCTTAAGGCTGAACATCTTCATTCCCTTAGCTGCAGTCTTCTTCCCCCACTGTGTGTGTGACTTGATTTGCCCAGGCATACTTTTCTGTAGAACGGATCTTTTTCAGTATTGGCTGATTGCTCTTTAAAAAGGAATAGAAGTCACTGCAAGGTGTTTCTCGGAGGTTGTACTGTACGGTCAGAATGCCTTTCATTGTTTCAACACTCAATTTGTTCCTGTCCATTGACTTTGCATCAGTGAAAAAAATCTTTCTACATTTGCATTGTGAGATGATATAGCAAAGAAGAATTGTGCAATTCTGAGTGGCATTCAATGTTCTTTGATTTTTCAAAGTATCTGGTCCACTTTTTATGTGTTGGCAGATTACTAAATTCTTCATCACTCTTGTAATTTTCCACAAACTGCTTCAGGTTACTAACTTGGTCAAAACACTTCATCAACTTCTACCCCCTTATCAATCAAATATTTGACAGCTAAGTTGACAACACCGTACAAGTGACTTATTAGCCGACAAAAACTGAACGAGATCTCTACGGTTTCCACCTTCCCTCCCTCTCTCTCTCTCTCTCCCGTCATTACAGTTTCATGTTTTTTTTTTCCCGTGTTGAAAATGATGGAAGCTGAAATTCCGGACTTTTGAAGAATTTTAAAAATTCCTTCCGGACGAAGATTTCGAGACCTAAATGGAGGACATGTCCGGGAAAATACGGACGTATGGCAACCCTATGCCAAGGTCTAGTGCTTATTAATTTATCTGTCCTTAAGAGTGACTAAGTTTTTCTCTTTTAAAATGTCACTGAACTGACATGGGACAATATAATTAACATTGCTGGAATTCTTATAAGAGAGTGAATAATTTGAATATAAACATGCTAAAGCTCGCATTAGACACAAATTTTAGTTCTAATTTATGAATTTTATTACAGGACACATTTTTATCTCTTGTGCAAAATATATGACGTTTATATTCAAATTATTTGCTGTCTTGCAAGGATTCCAGCAATACAAATAATATTCTCCTAACTTTAGTCTATGACATTATATAAGATAAAAACTTTAAGCCTAAAACACCAAACCCGGGCTGGGAAGATGGGAGGGAGGGAAGTGACAGTGACATGTTTCACAGTTGGCA